TCCCCCCAGCTCAACACTCACTTTTATCCTAAGTGTTTAAAATGATGTCAAGACCTCTGTCTTGGCGGTGACATCAGCACTCCCACAGTGCTCAACTTGCCCTCCACTTATCTCTGTTAATAGTGATGAGACTCGGTCACGCCATGTCTGGCCCGACTCTTCTCTTCTCAGTGCATTATGTCTGTCCATTACGCAAACGCTAGGCTGACAAGGCAGATTTTCCTACAAAAGAGAAAACAGGCTGCATCCTTGACTGCTTTTTGGTTAATGAAATGCAGAGATATATTCTGTTGTTGTGACATGATAAATATTTCAGTGAATCTGAAAGCATTGTGTGTTTTTTTTAATAGTTTTGTAATTGTTCTTATTGTTTCAAGTTTTGTACTGCACAGTTGCTAACAATACAATGATTCTGACAGCAAGGGTGATTTTTGACAGTCAGTATTTGTGTATAATGTATCTGTATGTTGCAGGTTAGGAACCAGCATATGCATCTTAATTTCTGAACAAAAAAAGTTTGAAGAGTGTTTCCCAGAAGTCAGTATTTATCTAGCCTTCAAAGAAGATCCTTCTCAGTCTGTAGTCTATTAACGGTAAGGAAATTGGAAATTCATTGCAGAGATTAATATTGGAAGATTGGCATTATATACAGTGATTTTTAAAAGGATGGAAAGGTAAATCTGATAGTTATCAGTTATTCAAAGCCATTATTCTCAGTTTTAAAGTCATTGGCAGTGTGTTATTACAGGTCAGTTGTAATCATGTAACTGTTTATAGTGATGTATGCTCAATTTGCTAACCTGATCATGGAAAGACATGCATTGAACTTATAAAGACCCAGATTTTCTCTAAATGTGTAAAAAGTTCGAAGGTAATTCTTTCTATGGAAATTATCCTAATTTTTCCTTACCCCACCTGGACAAAACAATCCAGCATAAGGCAAAAGCATTTAGTTTGAAAAATTATACCCGGAGCTCAGAAATAGTATTCACCGTCATGAGTTGTAAGCTGAATTTCCAGTTCAACTCATTTTTTAAGTATTGAGAAACTGTTGTTTTTTTTTTTTTTTTTTTTTTTTTTTTTTTTTTTTTTAATTAAAAAAAAAGTTTTTTTCCAAGTTTTTTACCTTTTTTAAATTTTAAAAAAAAAAAAATTTTTTAAAATGGAAAAAAATAAAAAT